GCGATCAGGATGATCTGCTGGCCGTGCTGAATGATTTCGGGGGCGAAGGCTCCGCCATGCGCGGCTCGCTGGATGATTACCTGACGCTGGTATACGACCGCATCTCCCTCTACGATCCGAATGCGTTCGTGCTGTACGATTTTGCGCCGTTCAATGCCGCAGCGGGCGAAAGGGCCCGGCCCTATGGCGTTTTGTTCGAGTGTGGCAACGTGTACAATTTCCGGTATACCCGGGGTGATCTGGATTACCTGCTGGTCGCCACGCGGGTCACTTACAAGAACGCGGATGGTCTGACCCGCACCGTGACCGACCTGATCTGCTACTTTGGCCCCCAGACGGTGAGATATTACCACGATGATCAGGATGGTCGCAAGGATTTGCCCGCTGTATACGAAACGTTCGAGGCCAGGTCCACCACACTTTACCGAATGGCCGTGTTCACCCCGGGTGTCACGTATGTACCGGCCGTCCGGCTGGGCTACATTCCGGATCCGGCAACGGCGAACACCACGTGTGTATCGCCCGCCTATCATTCGGCACTGGATCTGTTCAAAGAGCTGATCGATCTGAAGTCACAAAATGATATTGTGACAAAGAAACATGGCTTCCCGCAACAGTTCAAACAGTCTCCACCCTGTCCGGGTGAGATGAACCCGGACACCGGCTTTCGGAATGTTTGCGACCGGGGCACTAACAGAACCACCGGTCAGGTCTGTAAGGAGTGCGGAGGGTCGGGTTATCTGGAGCATAAGTCAGAGCAAGACACCCTGATCATGGAACTCAAGGATGATCCCGAAGACTGGGCCGATCTGAGCAAACTGGTTTACACGGTGCAGCCGGCGCTGGAGACAATAAAAGCCTTTGATGAGAAGATTCTCAATAAGAAGCTCGAAATCATCAAGACGGTCTTTTCCTCCGATCAACAGGTCCAGGTGCAGGGCCCGGCTAAAACCGCTACCGAATACACCGTCAGCCGCGAAGATCAGAACAACACGCTGCTACCCTGCGCCGATCAGAAGTCGTTCGTGTATAAAGGATCGGTCATGCACATTGCGGCTCTGATGCGCATTTCGGGTGTGGTCAAACCTTTGTATGAATACAACCGGGATTTGAAGCTGACGTCGATGTCCGATCTGTACGCGGACCTGAAAGCCTCACGCGATGCGGGAACGGGCAAAGAGGAAATTAGCCAGATTCAGGACGATATCAACCGGAAGCGCTACGAGTCGGATCCGGTGGCACTGGAGCAGTACTTCATCAAAAAGCAGCACCTCCCCTACATTTCCATGCAACTCGACGAGTTCGAGTATGCCAACTCGGACGGACTGATTCCCAAACCCATGGCCGTGCTGTACTTCAACTCCGACATCGTGTTTGGTGAACTGGAGATCGAACAGCCGGGCTTTTACGATCTGCCCTATGCGGAGCGCGATAAGCTGGTGTCGGAAAAAGTACAGAAGCTGATGGCACAGTTGCCGCAGGTAGTGAGCATGATGAGTATTCCGAGAATCGGGCAACAACAGCAAGCGTAATAAAAAAGCCCCGATGTTTCCAACGGGGCATGGCTATAGCCTTTTTTCTTCTACGAGCTTGGTGCAAATATAAAGTATTACAACCAGTGTTCTATGAACTACCGCGTAACGGGTTGCAATTTCAATAATTAGGCCATGAACGAACCGGACGCAAAAAAGCGCATTGCCGCCATCGAAGCCATGCAGACTCAGTTCGATAATAGACTGGCCAGGCTGGATAAAGACCTGCTGTCGGTCCTGCTCCAGTCCGCTGATTCGATTCTGGCCAATCCCAAAGCTCTTTCCCGGATCCTGGGTCAGTTCGACAATCAGTACCATGTACCGGTGTTGCAACAGTTCGGCAGTGACCTTCTGGTGATCAAGGACCTCAACGATGCATATTTTCAGGGCGCTATCGGCGAGACCATGGGCGGGGTGTCAGTCAACGAGGCCTTGTTTGAAAATGTGCAGCAGACGGTTGAGAAATTCATGACCGACCGGTTTGGTATTAGTCCCAATGGCGAAATCGTCAAAAATGGGCTGTTCGATCTGTTCAGTCAGGACACGACCGTCAAGCGTCAGGTGCAGCAATTCGCTTATACCCAGAAGTCATCAGGTATTGGATTGGAGCGCTTCAAAAAGAACCTACGCAATTTCATTGAAGGTAACGAAACGGCCAGCAGTCCGGCCGTGCCTGCGCGGGGGGTATATACCCGGCATTACAATACCGTAGCGTTTGACACCTACCAGCAGGCCGACCGGGTGGCTCAGCAGGCGTTCTCGGCAGGCCTCAACATGACGGCGTTTCTCTATTTGGGTGGCAAGATCTCTGGTTCACGGCCGTTCTGCGTGGAGCGCGATGGTAAGTGCTTTATCAAAGCTGAGATTGATAAAATGGGCACGTCAGCGGATGCGTATGGCGGGTATGTCAATAAAGCCATCGGCTATTTTTCGGGCAAGCCCAAAGCCGGGTACGATCCGCAGCAGGATGCAGGCGGGATAAATTGCAGACATTTTTGGAGTGCTATATCTGATCGAGAGGCATTAAGATGCAGGAAGGACCTTGAGTTCAAAGAAGGAAAATTGTGCGTAGCAAGTAAATAACAATTCCATTATAGGAGAGCATCTTTTGCTATAAAAAGATGCTCTCCGTCCGATAGAGCATCAGGGAATACGCAGGCTACCTGTATACAAGTGAATGTAACTAATTCACCTTACTTGCGGTCTCATCTCCGAAAGGTCCAAAGTGAGTGATTAATGCCTTATTCGTATCCGGGAAGTACCTAATGGTAATTGCCCATTCCTTTAAGTTGCCCCAATGGTCTTTTCGGGCCAGCCCTAAACCTAAAGTAAAACTATGTGATTGTGCATCAGATTTGGCCTTTTTAAATACAAATTCATCAAGATTGTTTCGAATGAAACTAAGAAGTTCGCCCTTTCTTATGTTACCATTGCCTGACTTTGTAATGAAGTCCCCATGATTATTATAATCAAAACTGAAGTCGGCGGTACCGGGCAAAGTTGGAATTACTGCCGCAGCTGCTACTGGAAGTGCTACAGTCTGCTGAACTCCCACAGTAGAAGCAGATCCTCCAGACCAAGAGGAGGCATTATTTTGGACTCCTGACACGTAGGTTAGACATTCCTGTATCTTACTCTCTAATGCCAATTTGGCATCAGAGGTATCCCGCGCTTGGGCGTCCCTTATAGTCTTATTCATGTCGGGAAATTGAGATTTTTTATTCTTCTCTACATAATCAGTATAAAGAGCACTTATATCTGTCATCCACTTTTTTAGTTGAGCGACATCATCGGCATTATTCATGATTGTGTCAAAATCATTCGAGCCGAAAAAATTTTTCTGTTTTAATGTTGCAGCAAACTGCTTTAAGCTTAAAGGTAAAGCTAATCTATCAGCAGAGCTTACGCCCTTTTTCGATGGAGGAGCCATTGAGGAGACAGCGCCTTCATTCATTGATGGTAACTGGGCAGCTTGATTACTTCCACCTGTAACTTTGGCTCCCCAAGGAGAGGGACTGGTTGACTTTTTAATTGGTTGCATTGCGTTGGCTAAGTTATAGATGACTATCACTCAACATTAATATTATCAACCAACAAAGTCTATAGATTTCAAACAATTGGTAGTTAAATAGTAACTTGTCACTGAAGGCATTATACCGATAAATAAACCTAATGCGGTATTGATTATTGGTAGTAACTCCGTTTTATTTTGATTCGTTATGCTCCAAGCAGGGTGCAAAGGGTTGTGAGCATCTACAATAACCAATAAAGAATGAAATTTCAAATTAAACCAGGTAGCCATACCCGTTTTTACTAATTTTTACAGTATATTACTCTAAAAATTAGTATTTACTATATCTTTGTTTCGCTGAAAATCAAACGACTGACGACAATGACCAATGACATCTCTTACCGCCATCCCGAAACGGGTCAGGAGCGCATTCTGCCTGAAGGTTTGGGCGAACAGCTGGGCTTTAAGCGCGTGAACGAATTCAATCCGCCTGAGCTCGATGAACAGTCAACGGGTGATAAGTTTCAAACTCAGGTCGAGTCGGAATTGGATCACGCCATCAGTCAGCTGTCCGGCATTGCATCGAACGGCGCTGATCAGGTAAGCGAAGGGGTTCGCGTCAAAATCGAACAGTTAGTTAGTGAACTAGAAGAGTTCGGATTCGTCGTTATCCAGCCTGCCAACCTTTCGGATTCGGTTGATCTGATTCTTACAAAAATGGATGAGGAGGAGCCAGACGCCTACGCGTTTGATCAATTGAATCGTGTCGTTCAGAAGGCGCTGGAAATCACTTCGGCTAACGTTGCTGAATTCCAGAAGCAAACGTCAGGCCTGACAGCTCTCGAAGCCCTGACCGAGCTTGAGAAAAAGATCGAAGGTAACAGCCGCATCAGTGCGACCGCAAGAACGGAGATCACCAAACACGTCAGTCAGATCCTTTCGGCTCAGCAGGCCCCGTCGGACGATGATGATCAGTCAGGGGAAGGCGATCAGTCCGGCACGGTTGATCCCAACTCAACCGCTACCACAAATCCGAATGAGCAGAATATGCCCGGTAAGTCGGATGGTGATTCACAACCCTCTCAACCCCAGTAATCATGGAAGTTCGTCACAACATCACGGGCAAAGATCAGACTATCCCGAAAGATCAGTTTGAGGTCCTCAAGCAAAGCGGTCACGCCAAAAACTTCACCATCCTTAATGAGGATGACTTTACGCCACCTGAATTGTCAATGCCTGAAACAGAAGGCACGTCAGCCGAATCAGGCAAAAAGGGCAAGGTGGCAAAGGAATAACGATACCCTTTACCCTTCGGAAACAAACCTGACCCTGAGTCGGGCGGACATCGCAAGGGGGCAATCAGCTACGGATTGGGCAGCCTAATAGTGGCACGTAGAGCCATACAGATGCAGAAAGCATTCTTTTGGTTGACAGCCGGGACAAAGACCGGCACTATTGCCAAAGTGGTTGAGTGGTTAGACAGCAGATTGCAAACCTGCTCCACGTCGGTTCGAATCCGGCCTTTGGCTCAAGGCGCGTAACGTAAAATGAGGGTGTAGGGTGTAGGCGGTTGTTGATGACCTCCAGTACCGAAACAAAAAGCTCGACCAGTCGGGCGGCTGATGGCCCTTCAGCCTCGTTTCGACGAGGTGCCTGTCTTTGGTCAGCCGCATACGATGAAGCCATCCCTACAGGAAACCTAATCGTTGGGTATGGTCGGGCCGGGGTCACTTGTGACTCCAAACTTTGCGAGTCAGGCGCACAATCCTGATGGATTATTTTGGGATTAGGCACCTGACGCCTGCTGGTTCTGGATTACCATAAATCTAATCATACAATGGCATTACTGACCGAAGAGCAGCAAAACGTTGCTGTCAATGCGCTGGCAAGTACGCTGGGCAAACCCGTTTCCGAGATCGAAGGCATCCTGAGTGGGGAAAAACCTGCCGACGTCGACAAGCTGGTATCTGAGCGGATCAAGGCGGTCCGCAAGGAAGGCGAAGGCGCGGGGAAGGGTAAACTACAAAAGGAAGCCAACGCGAAAGCGAAAGAGCTATTCGGTACCGAAACCGCTGAGGTGGAGACAATTGCCGACCTGCTTACCAAAGTAAAAGGCGAGTACAAAGCTCCTACCGATCCGGCTTCGCTCACCGAAGAGCAGGTCAAATCGCATACCGCGTTTCGTACGCTGGAAAGCACCTTGACCACCGAGCGGGAAAACCACAAAAAGGCTTTGGAAAAGGTGAAAACCGACGCCATGGCTGAGGTGACCAAAGAAAAGCTCACCGCGAAAGCGCTTCAGGCTTTAACCGATTTCGGGGCAGTGCTGTCGGAGGATCCCAAACTGGCAGCCGTTCAGAAACGGATGTATCTGGATCAACTGGAAGGGGTAACGATTAAAGAAAACGGGGGAACGACGGAGTACTGGAAAACTGACAGTGAAGGAAATCTGAAGCGGATCGAAACCGATAAGCTGATTCCCGTCGCTGAAACGGATTATCTGAAAGGTCTCGTCGAATCCATCTACACCACTAAAGTCAGTGACCAGATCACCTCGACGGGTTTACCGCCCACGGGTGGAACGGGCGGTGGCACACCAGGCGGATTTACCCATTTCAAGGGTACCCCGCCCAAAACGGAAGCAGAAAAAGACGCGATCCTCAACGATCGATCGACCTACACGCTGGAAGCCCGGCAGGAGGTGCTCGCTCACTGGAACGCATCCCAGACAAAATAACCGGCTCCAGCGTTGGGGCCGGACATCGTCCACCGGAACGCATCCGGCCCCAATACTATGGCACAAGTTACCGGTTTCTCGTTGACCCAGGTTGATCAGTTGCTGCTCGATTTAGAGGCACGCTGGCCCGATGCACGGGGTAATGAAAACAACACCCACCAGGCGGATACCAAGATCCTGAAAGGCATCTGGGCCGAACAGACGGCCGAACTTCAGGGACCGCTGACCGAAAACGATTCGTGTAAGCCCGTCAAGATTGCCTGGCTTGAATCGGGTGGCACCACCATCGAAGAGGGCGAATCGACCAACCACACGGCCGTTACCTGCGAAATCGACGGCGATGGTCCAGCCTCGAACGCCATCGAGTACCAGATCACCAAGTGGATGAAAGCGACGCTGAAAATCCCGGTGAAAGACTGCGGTACCCGCTACACCTTCGATCAGAAGTTTCAGCACAAGTTTCTTAATACCGAGATCGATCTGGTCAACAAGCTGGCCAGTAAAGTCCCGCCTGCGCTTTTGGGCTTTTCGGGTGTCAATCTGTTCCCCGGTTTACTGGGTACCTACGCCAAGCTGGGCGATAACGTGACGGATGACAAGACCCTGACGCGCGTTCCGGCCGGTAACTTCAACCCGTTCGACATCGTGCCGTACATGGCGGAAATCGGCGAGCTGAACCGCTTCAAGAACTTTGCTGCCTTCGACGGGGGTAACCTCTTCTACCCCACCTACAACGCACAGCGTCAGAAAGGAACGCCCGCAGGGGATGCCGGTCAGGAGAATCACTTCGATGACATCCGCATGTACGTCGACCGGCTGAACTTCCTCAAAACGGGCGGTTTATCTGATTCCACGTTCCTGGTCGACCGGGGCGCCATTGCCATGTACACGGCCGCGTACAACGAAGTCAAAGCCGATGTGTCGGGTAATGGATTCGCCGAAACCCGGTTCCGTACGCCCCTTTTGGGTCTGCGGTTCCCCGATGGCAACAACAAAACCCTGCCCGTGGAGGCTGACACGATCTTTCGTCGGGAGCGGTTGCCGGTTGCGCCGGGTTCGTCCGTCTGTGAAGACTTCTTTGTCTGGGAATTAAAGACCTGGTACATCATCCTGAACAATCCGTTGATGAGCGTCAACGACGGCAACACGGGCGTGATCCGGATCAAGCGCGATGCGACCCTGCCCCAGATTGGTACGCCGATGCAGAAGGCGTTATAGTTCTGTTTTCATACATGGCTATTCGATCACGTTTTATGCGCTGATCGAATAGCCATTTTTTTCTATCACTATGCCG